TGCAGAAGCTCTGCAATTTCATGCAATCCCATTTGTCCAACCTTTCTTTGATTTGTTGTGTTTCTGGGTCTCTTAAGAAAATTTCAGCCTGTGCCAAGAAGACCTAGGATTTATCCTATTGCATCCTGTAATGTTTACAGAGTGTCTGCTTTGACTCCAAGGTCTTTGATCCATTTGGAGTTGATTCTTGTGTAGGGTGATATATAAGGATCTAGGATTAACCAATTTTACCAGCACCATTTACTGAAGAGGCTGTCTTTCTTCCATTCTATTTTGTAGCTCCCTTATTGAAAATTAGATGGCTATAGGTCTGTGGATTCATTTCTGGGTTTTTGATTCTATTCCATTGGTCCTGAGGTCTATTCTTGTGCCAGTACCAAGATGTTTTGATTACTATGGCTTTGTAATAGAGTTTGAAATTTAGTATTGATATTCCTCCAGCACTGTTCTTTCTGTTAAGGATTTTGTTGCTATTCAGGGTCTTTTATTGTTCCATATGAATTTTTGGATTGCCTCTTGTATTTCCTTGAAGAATGAAGTTGGAATATTGATAGGTATTGCATTGAATTTGTAGATAGCCTTGGGAAGTATTGCCATTTTCACAATGTTGAGCCTTCCAATTCAGGAGGATGGGAGGTTTTTCCATTTTTTTAATTCTGTTTTGATTTCCTTTTTCAGATTTTTATAGTTTTCATTATAGAAGTCCTTCACTTCTTTGGTTAATTCCTAGGTATTTTTTTGTGTGGGGCTATTATAAAATGGAGTTGCTTTCCTGATTTCAGCCACGCTTTTCTCATTGTTGACATACAGAAAAGCTATTGATTTTTGAGGGTTAATTTTATACCCTGCTACTTTGCCAAAGTTTTGAATCAGCTTGAGTAATTTGGGTGTGGAGTCTGTGGGATTCTTTAAATACAAAATCATGTTATCTGCAAAGAGGGAGAGTTTTACTTCATTTTTCCCTATTTGGATCCCTTTTATGTTTGCATCTTGTCTTATTGCTGTAGCTGGCATTCTAATACTAGACTGAAGAGAAGTGGAGAGAGTGGGCATCCTTGTCTTGTTCCTGAGTTAAGGGGAAATGCCTTTAGTTTTTCACCATTAAATATAATGCTGGCTGTAGGTTTGTCATATACAGCCTTTATTGTATTGAGGAATGTTCCATGGATTCCTAATTTTTCCAGAACCTTCATCATAAAGGGGTGTTGGATCTTGTCAAATGCTTTTTCCTCATAGATTGAGATAACCATGTGGTTCTTATCCTTGCTCTTCTTTTTTTGGGGGGGGCCTGGTCATGGGGCCTGAATTCTGGGCTTGGACGCTGTCCCTCAGCTCTTCAGCTCAAGCCTAGCACTCTACC